TAAGCCAGCAATGTGCGCTCGCAGCCCAGAAGGCCAATCATATCCTGGGCTGCATCAAAAGAAGCGTGGCCAGCAGGTCAAGAGAGGTGATTCTGCCCCTCTACTCTGCTCTGGTGAGACCCCACCTGGAGCACTGCGTCCAGCTCTGGAGCCCTCAGCATAAGAAAGACGTGGACCTGTTGGAGCACCTGTTGCGACAGGACAAGGGGGAATGGCTTTAAACTAAAGGGGGGTAGATTTAGACTAGATATAATGAAGAAATTTTTTGCAATGAGGGTGGTGAAACACTGGAACAGGTTGCCCCGAGAGGTGGTGGATGCCCCATCCCTGGAAACATTCAAGGTCAGGTTGGACAGGGCTCTGAGCAACCTGATCTAGTTGAACATGTCCCTGCCCACAGCAGGGGGGTTGGACTAGATGACCTTCAGAGGTCCCTTCCAACCCAAACTATTCTATGATTCTATGATAACTTTACAGCTTGAAAAATAACAAATAGCTTGAAACCAAGTCATCTCCTCCCAGTCTGAACTGTCCTTTAGTCTTCATACCCATTCTATTACCATGTCCAGATATTTCCTTTCCCTTAGGTGTCCTTCATAAGCATCAGGCTTCTCAACCTACACTCTACAATTTGTATTAACTTTACAGCTTGAAAAATAACAAATAGCTTGAAACCAAGTCATCTCCTCCCAGTCTGAACTGTCCTTTAGTCTTCATACCCATTCTATTACCATGTCCAGATATTTCCTTTCCCTTAGGTGTCCTTCATAAGCATCAGGCTTCTCAACCTACACTCTACAATTTGTATACATTTTTCCTCCCATCTCTTCTCGCTGACCATCTCCATCCATCTCCATTATACCATAACCCCATACACACATAAACATTGACAAATTTCACCTTTACTGTCAAGGCTGATCACTAAATCCTGAACTGTTCATTGCATTCTTGTCACTAGGGCACTGTCATGTGTCACTCTCCTGCGAAGGACGCAACCAGTCAAATCCCCCCCTCCCAGCTCCTGCATTTAACATGCTTATTACGTTCTTGACTCCTCCCAGTTACTGTACCATGTAAGGAATACACTGCCTCTGGCAAACAGCGACATGTACACAGTTCTGAGCCCCGCCAGGCCAATTTATAAAGAGCATTAGCCAGCGGAACCAAGCAAGAGCAATACTTCAAATGGTTTGAAGGAGTTACAGTGATATTGGAGACACAGGCCATCTACAAGATCCAGAAAAACTGTTCAGATACCTGTGACAGCAAAGCCCAACTAGTGATGTTCACTTAATCCATGCCTAAGCCCCTCTTAATAAGGAAAGAGATGAGGACTCACTTGGTAGGTGCAAGTACAGGATCATCTGCCCAGCCTCCTTGCCGGCGTGGGGGTTTAGGTGGTGGACCCTTTAATAAAGAGAAGAGACACATTACAGCCAGCTCCAGTCAAGGCAAAGTCAAGCCAACTGAGGCACCAGGTCCGCACATACCAATGTAACACTTCAGCAAATAATAGATGGAGAGGGAGTGTTTAAAATGCTGTTTATTCATAAAATAAAAGGAAGACAAATATTGCAGGACAGGTTTTTAAGTGTCTCTGTAAGCAAAAGATGTATCGCTCTAATCAGTATCTTGACAAGTTTCAGGTCTGTGTGCCTTTGACTTGTCCAGGACACACAGTACAGTAGCAGACTGATTCACAGAGGATGCGCTCTCCTGGCAAAATATGGTTCACTGGGAACTCGTTCATTACTGCTGCCCACATTTCAGTGGGAGGTATCATGTTACATGTGTCCTAGGGTACAAGTCAGCTCGTTTTAGCCATCTTGTTTTAGATGAGGAATTGTTCCTAAAATTGTCTGCTTTTGTCCACTGCCTAGAATAGATGGTAGATGCCAAGTTCAGATACAGGCAGCCATACCAAACACCTCTAAAGTTAGGTGAGATGAATCCCACCACTGCCACCACTGAAATGCTAAAGGGTAAGTTCACCTGGAGCTTAAGGACACTCCCTGCTGTTTTCTTGCATTGTCTTGTATGGCACTCTGCCACGCAGCAAGAGGAAACAGGAATTCAGCTTGGGGCTTACGATGGGAATTTTCAAGGAGCAGGGCCACAATTTCCCACCGTGTGGGAGCTGCCCACTGCCTTTTGCAGTTTTGGGCTCAGTTCCCCCTGCCTGAAGCACCTCATACAGCAGCGGCTTCAGTGTTTTGCATGACAGGCAGTGGTGAAAGCAGAGGGGCAAAGTGAACCCAGTGCATGAATGTCAGTTTATATAGTTCCCAACTGATGGTGCCCAGTGGTGGTGAGGGAAAATGGGTTATGGGGACCTGTGAAGGGACCATAATGAGAAAGGATGACTGGGTAGAAGATGTCCCAAAACTGGGAAAAATGGTGACTACAAAGGAGTCTAAGCTGGAGCAATGGTGGGGGGAAACAGGTGGCTCCCACAGCTTTTATTAAGAAAGGGAATGGGCTGGGTGACTCCTGAGGATTTTTGACTTGACAGAGGGGACCTTGCATGTGTGGTGGGGTCAACCCTGAGCCAAAGCCAAATTACCTCTTGCCACAGACAAGGAAGGGGCTGAGCTAACCCCTGATGGTAGGGGTCTCCCATGTTTATTTCTTGAAGCAGAACCATTGTTTGTGAGTGTGGGAAATTAAGAGAGCCTGCCAGGGGCAGCCGCTGCCTGCTGCAGGGAGGGGGCACGACCCTGCATAGCTCCCTGAT